ATTCGACGGCACCCTAGGCAAGTACCGAGGGCCCCCTATCTCTTTTAGCCTAGACCCCAATGTCGCCCCCATACGCCTAAAACCAAGACGGGTGCCTTTTGCACTCCGGAAAAAAAATCAACGAGCAGATTGACAAGCTCGTCAAACAGGGGGTCTTGCAACCAATCGACCACGCCCGATGGGAGACCCCAATAGTCACCCCAGTCAAGCCAGATGGGTCAGTAAGGATCTGCGGGGACTATAAGGCCACCCTCAATTGTGCCCTGCAACAAAGCGCCTACCCCGTCCCAGTGGTGCAACACCTACTACACTCGCTGGGGGGGGGCAAGGTCTTTGCGAAGCTCGACCTGGCGCAAGCCTATCAGCAGCTGCCGGTCGATGAAGAAACCGCCGAGGCGCAAACAATAGTCACCCACCGGGGAGCGTTCCGTTGTAACCGACTCCAGTTTGGAGTCAGCGTGGCCCCGGGAATTTTCCAGAGCCTCATGGAGAGACTGCTGCGGGGAATAAAAGGGGTGGTCCCCTATTTTGACGACGTACTAGTGTCGGCAGCCAACCGGGAAGAATTAGAGGGTCGCCTAAGGGAGGTACTAGAAAAATTCAAAGGGGCCAGGCTAAAAGTGAAGAGAGAGAAATGCCAGCTATGCACAGAGCAAGTCGAGTTCCTAGGGTACCTCCTAGACCGACATGGCATCGACCCAACCGGAAGCAATTTCAAAGCCATCAAGGAAGCCCCCACACCCAAGAACAAAACAGAGCTGCAGGCATTTCTGGGACTGCTAAATTTTTACAATGTATTCTTGCCCCAGAAGGCGACCGCAGCGGAGCCATTGCATAGGCTCCTGGACAAGATGGCCAAATGGACCTGGGGGAAACGGGAGGACACCGCATTCAAGAACACCAAAGACCTGCTCACCTCGGATGCCGTCCTCATACAATATAATGAGACCCTACCCCTCGCCGTCACATGCGACGCCTCACCCTTTGGCGTCGGCGCCGTCCTCAGCCATACACTTCCGGACGGAAAAGAAGCACCCATCGCTTTCTTTTCGAGAACACTCAGCAAACCAGAAAGAAACTACAGCCAGTTAGACAAGGAGGCCCTGGCCATCGTCGCAGCAGTAAAGAAGTTCCACAAGTACCTCTACGGCCGCCGATTCACCATTATCACAGACCACAAGCCGTTGCTGGGCATCCTGGTGGGGAACAAGGCCACCCCGAACATCCTATCTCCCAGGATGACAAGGTGGTCCGAGTTCCTCGCCGCCTATGACTACCGGCTCACACACAGACCCGGTAAGACGATCACCCATGCAGACGCGCTGAGCCGCTCGCCGCTTCCCGACCTAGACGACGACCCAGCTCCCACGACGACCACCCTCAGCATAGAGACATTGCCCGACCTACCCATAACCGCGTCAGACATTGCCCGAGAGACTAATAAAGACAGACGTCTGGCGCGGGTATTACATTGGGTAGAAAAAGGGTGGCCGGAAAAAGACAACGATGAAGCATTCAGGACATTCCGAAACCGGCAAACAGAACTGTCACTACAGAAGGGTTGTTTGCTATGGGGGGACAGGGTGGTTATACCGGAAAAATTGCAAGGGAAAGTATTAAAATTGTTGCACGAAGGACACCCGGGCATCGTGAGGACAAAAGCCTTGGCCAGAAGTTACGCTTGGTGGCCAGGCATGGACAAAGAGATTGAGGCTTGGGTAGCCAAGTGCTCACGCTGCCAAGAAACCAGACCAAATCCCCCCACAGCACCAATATTAGAATGGGAAACACCCAGGGGGCCATGGTCGAGAATCCATATAGACTTTGCTGGGCCCACAAAAGGGAACACATTCCTCATCACGGTGGATGCTTACTCCAATTGGCTGGAGGTAAGCAACATGAAAACCACCACAACAGAAGCGGTCACCAAGGTACTCAACAAACTCTTCGCAACCCACGGCCTCCCGGATGTCATCGTGTCAGACAATGGGCCCCAGTTCACCTCGCTAGAATTCGAAAAATTCCTAGCGGAACGGGGCATACGACACGCACTGACAGCGACGGCACATCCGGCGGCCAATGGTAGGGTGGAACGGATGGTTCAATTTACAAAGAGAACCCTCCAAAAAATCGAACACGGGGACATACAAGAATAAATAAATAAAATGCTCCTAATACAACATATAACCCCAAGCACAACGACAAACAAAAGCCCGGCAGAGTTACTGATGGGGAGGAAACTAAGGTCCCCACTCGACAGACTACACCCCACATACAACCCGGAAAAACCCCCAGACTCATCAAGCAAGCACCGGGTTTTTGCACCAGGCGACGCAGTCTATGCAAAAAACTTTACCGGAGACCCACTATGGGTACCGGCGACTATAACCCAACTGACAGGACCACACTCTTACCGGCTGCAGACAACAGACGGACAAACATGGAAACGCCACATCGATCAATTAAGATCAAGAATAAGAAACACAACTGACACGCAAGCAAACACAGACGACCCCATTAACACAAACCAAGAGGGGAGGGAATATACAGGGGAACAAGAAGGAATAGAAAATAACCAGCAATACTCACCAGTAAACAGCCAGCTCGGAGTCTCACCAGGAAGAAACAGCCAGGCCAGCTCAACCAGCCCGGAAAGACCAGGCGGGAGCAGCAAGAGTCGCGGCTCGACCAACCCGGGTAGACCGGGAGGGAGCTGCAACAAGAGGCCCGGCAACACCTTCCAGGCGGTTCCATCGACGAGACCAAGAGAAACAGAGGTCCCGACCGAACCGGCCGAGAGCCAAACAACAACTAACCTGCGCAGGTCCAGTAGGCAAGTACGAAGCCCCGCCTACCTACGGGACTACGTTACGTAGGACCGAACCAAGAGGGGAGGGGTGTTCTGTACAGTCATTTACATACTCGCAAGCCCCGCGCTGCGATTGGCTAAAGCGCGCAGCGACCGGATTGGTCGAGCGAGCCGCACTGATTGGTCCGTTGCGAATTCCCCGCGATTGGTGGAAACAAATCGCGGGAGATTCGAAGCGGTGCCATTGGCCACGGCCACCGCGGCTTGGGAATAAAAGCCGCAGTTTTTCCCTCCAAAGCTAAGCTGTATCCGGAGCACAATAAAGAGCTGAAACAAGTCACTGACTCCGAGCTTCCTTCCTGCGCCGGACACGACAGGTTCCATGGAGAAAGTTTTTTCCCCACAGACTGGAAGGGGCATAGTTTTTCATGCTGCCTGCATCCCACGGATGGGGCTTCACTTGTTTGAGCAAATCAGTTGCTGGCATGCTGAGACACATATAAGAAAATAATGTATTTCTGCTTGGTTTTGCCCTTAGTTCATTCACTATTAGCTACTATTTTTGTCCCGTTGGTTTGCAGTCACTTTTATCCTAATTCACAAGGATGTACCATTATTACCTAATGCAGATTCTCTCCCTCCTCCAATACTGAGATTTATGGGATAAAGAGGCACAACAAAAGGATAGTGAAATATAATCATTACAGTTTTCTTGTTGTTTAGAAAGCAATAAAGTTTGGAGAAGAGATGGACTCGAGAAGAGGTTTCCTTATTGCTATATATATTGTTTAATCTGAAAGATATCTGAGTGTGACATGATAAACATTTGTTGGATTAAACCTTGGTCTCTTGGATAATATCTACTCACAACTGTTATTTTTTTGAACTATTATGCTTAATAGTTAATAGCCATTATGGGTTTTATTAAATTCTCCTTTAGCTCTGTATAAGTTAGCAGTTACTATATATCTTTTGGAAAGTAAATTCCATTAGTGAAGAGGTTTTTTTTGTCTGTTTAAAATTGAGGTCAGTTTCTTTGTGAATCCAAGTTACAGTATCTTGTGGCATGATTATCCAGGTCTAACTTGGCCATAGTTCACTGATCACTCATGTCTATCTATAAGTTTCTTTAGACTAAGAATGCATGCATGCTACCACATTCTCTAATATTAAAGTTTAAAGAACACAGTGGGGGGAAAAATAGACTAAAGTTAAGATCAGAAACTGGTTAGCTTCTGAGCCCACTCAAGTGATACAAATGAACTTTCAACATTCTTTACTATAGTCCTTGATAGAGGAATTGGTAGAAGATTTCTCGGAATTTTTTAAGAGGAAGGAGAATTTTTCAAACAATTACGTGTAGGATTCCACTTTAGAGGTAATATAAACACTACTGAAACGCCTCTTTGAAAATAACTGTATGTATAATGTTACAAGGCTGGGAATCAGAATAGGAGGAATCCTGTTTTTTGTATAATGAACATCACCATCCTGGTCCATGAGTTAAAATGCATGGGACTGGAAGCAGTTATTTTGGAAATTTAAAGTTTATGAAGTATGAAGTCTCCAATGCAACATTACACTATACTTTTATTACACTAAATGTGATAAAAGAGGAAAATGAGAATAGTTACTTTAAGAAAACAAGCTTAAAATCATATTTAGAGAAGTGCTTTTGGTTAACTATTGTAATGTAGAGATCAGACACAGATAGCCTCATAACCTGAACATTCTGTGTGAGATCATTCTATCTGAAGCTATCATCTGACACATCCATAAATCAAATGTGGATTTAAAATATGATATGATACAATTAGACTCTAATTAATTTCACATTTTTTGATATTTAATAAAGTTAATTGCCATAAGCTTCAGGCTCAAATATAGACAGTTATTTTAATAGATATGTATGAACAAAATTAAACACCTGAATTTTTGAATTGGATCCCTATGAATGAACAGATTAATTCTGGGGAAATGATGAAGCAAAGCCTCTGTAAAGGTCTTCTAGATATGCAAAGATAAAGGATGGCTCTTCCACACAAAATAATCAGATACAAAAAATAATTATTTAGAAGCAGCATACCTATGAGTACTTTCATCAAACATTTAGGTTACCTGCCAAAAGAACATGATCTCTTCAAAATGCAATGTGGATTAAAGTGTTATCTACCATGAACAGAAAACTAACCTTAGAGTGGAAGTTTGAGATGCGTTCATCATAATTTTCATGTCTTTGGATAGAAAAACCGGCCTTTTCAGCTAGACTGCAGAACTGGTTTAGAGTATCTCCTCTAAGTGGAGCAAATATCAGAGCTTTTCCCTAAAACATTAAGAACATTTATATGATTTTATTTAAATTGTAACATAACATTGATAAAATTGTTAACAAATTATTAAAATGGACAATGGTATGAAAAATAGGAACAGGAAGATCTTGAAATATATAAATAGTATAAAAAAAAACTTCACCAAACATGAATAATTGCACTTGACTGTTATCAAAATTTATTTTATCTTTTCCTCAGAATTTTGTCTAATTATTCTATTAAATCAACTTGCTAAAGAGAATTGTTATAAGCTGTAAAGAAAATAGATCCATAGTCATGTTTAATTTTTGTTAGAATTGAGGTAATTGTAAAAATGATATTGTATGTAAAACTGTGTAAATGAGATGTGCTTTCACAATGAATTTTCTACACTTCTCCTCCCATTAACAGCTATCAGAAAAGATTCTTCCAGTGTTTGTAGGAATTACAAAAAATATCTTTGATAAGGAACAGAGGAGCCATAGTGGAGAAAGGGATAACTGGAAAAACTGGATAGAAACATCTTGCATAACCTATGCTTTGCTTGCTTTAGACATTTACCTCAGATTTTTTTCCAATGAATGTCTGCTATCACTGTCCCATGTGCCACATATCAGGACTTTGCTGTGGACCCCAAATATCCCTGAAAGTTTTATCAGAACTGGAATGGAATGGAGAATGTAGAAAAACCCATGATCAGAGCATCCTTCTCTTGGCATAAATTTGGGGTTTAATCCAATAAATTTAACCACTCTTTATCTATTTTATTGCTTCAATACACAGTAGATTTTCATAATGAAACAATACTGATAATGAATTCAACTTGTATTTAGCAGTGCTGTTTAATGTATCAAGAAAATGCAAGTCTCCCTATTGGTGCATTTTGGTATGAAGTGTTCCATGATGGAGAAATAATAGGTTCATGATACAGTAAGAAAACCCCTGTAAAATTTTTTAAAAAATTCATCACTGAATTAAAAGGCTTCTAGGAAGTATAAGTCAACAGAAGGATACAAATTGTTTTTACTGGGATCATATAGACCATAGGTGGGAATTGTGCTTCAAGTAGCTCTCAAATCAGTTTTACTAGCCCCAGGACCCCCAGGACTGTATCACTGAAATTTGGCAGCAAATTGCCATACACCAAGCTTGGGATTTCCAATTGATTTCTGCTAAGAAAGCAAACAAATAGGACATGTGAAGCTTTCGAATCAATAACAAGAAATAAGAATTTCCTCACTGGTTTGTTAACTTGCATGGATCACTATCATCTATCCCATGCAGACTCTAGGTGTTCAGATGAATAAATATTGCCTAAACCTTAAAAAGACACAGAGGTTTCATAAAAATAAAATAGGGTACTTTAACAATTATGGCTCAAAATCGTAATTCTCAGACATGGAAGAATCTCATGTCCTTGCCAAAGCAAAGCATATAATTTCTAAACCAAAGGCAAGTTTTAGTTAATATTGACTCCAACCTACGTAGATAAATATATATTTGGTTAAGTCTTCTGTACTAGATTTAGGAATACTGAACTAGGCATATAGAAGGCAATAATGAGTCTGTAATTTTGATCTATAATTTCTATACCCATGAATCTGATGATCTAATCAAGGAGGATAATAAATTTGGATGTTTTTCGGAGAGGCATTAGGAATTGGCTTAGGTTATCATCCTGCCAAGGCCTTGAATTGTGTTTAGAATAAGGAGTTTTCAATAGATTCACTCTTAAAAATCCTCAACCCAGGTAAGGAACTATGTCAATAGCTTGGAATCCTACAGAACTGAGGACAATGAATACCAGGTTTAACAAACAAAATACAAATAATGGAAGATTTGTAATAAGCACAATTGGATATGACTGAGAATACATTTTTTATTTTATACTGTAATGATGGTGATGGAAATCTTACTTTTTTGTTACTATTATATTTGCCCAAGGCTATTCATTGGAAATTTGTGGGGAATTGACTGAAGTACAACTTCTGGTTGATTCTTTTCAGCTTATGGGATATTTTTCAAATAAAAAACCATTGTTACTGTTACTGATTCTATTTCAATAGAATCAGAGATGGATGTTCTTATACACACTTGCTTAAGGAAAGCAATTGTGAGGCTACCTTATAAAGATTAGATTTTATTGCTCCTGATAATTGCCATCCAGTGTTAATTTTGCCATTCTTAGATAATGTATTGGAATGTGTTGTGATTATTTCATTGTTGTTTATTTCCAAATGGAGTTGAAGTTTGGCTTCAAGGCAGAAATGGCCTTCAACACACCAATGCAATGGTTCTGGTGCTTCCCATATGCAATTGCCAGTTGTCAACTGGCATGCATAAATGGAAGGCATCAAGCTGGGAATGTTGCCTAGAAGATTACTTGCATTACAAAATAGTCAAAGAAGAGAATGTAGATATAGCAGCTGCCTCCCACTCCAAATTTGAGGACTTTTGTGCCATGTTAGGCATTGCAAATGAAGGTGAATATACATATACTTATCCCAGGATAATGTTGCAGGATCCAATCTGAGTTGGTCACCAAGACCAGCAGGTTTTTTTCTGAGCTTTCAGACTCGTATTGGAGCCCATCTTCAGGGAACTTATCTTTAGGAGTGTGTGCGTTTTTGGACTGCTCTGTATGTGGTATTTATATGGTACCTGTTGTATGTGGCTTTTTAGATGTTTTGATTGGGGTGTTGATGGCTGGCTATTAAGTCCATGGCTGTTTGCTTTTGCTGGGCAAGGAGGACCCAGATTGTTGAGGGCAATATGCTGACTCTGTAAACCCCTTAGAGGGGGCTGTAAAGCACAGTATGTTATTAAAAGCGGTATATGCTATTGATATTGCTATTTTCCTACTATCTCTTTTACCAAAAGACCAACTAGGCCCATGATTTTTAAACTGGTAAAAAGCAAATTAGTGCAAAAACAATGTATAGAATCATAATTCAGTATTGTGTAATTCTGAGAGAAGATTTTTATCTTCACATAGGATATTACATACAAGCATTTCATATGGTTTGTTACAAGTTCCTATGCTGCATACCATTTTCTTAACACAAATGATTTTATATTTTAAATATATAATTTTAAATATTACACCTCACTTAAATGGCAACATCTTAGCCCCTTAAATTATATCTTCTCTAAATAAATAAAGCTTGTTAAGTTAGTACTGTACAAAAGCCACCAAAGATTGTTGCTGCATTCTAAAACATATTTTGAAATAATTTAAAGGAATAGTGAATTCTGGAAGATTTGGGAAATGCCTTGCTTTAGTTAAGTACACCCTGTGCCATTCATCCAGACCTTTTGTTTTTCTGAGAGATAAAATCAACCTGAAAAGATTTATCTGAATGTAGCTGGTTTGAAAAACATTGCCTTTTAACAAGATTTTTGCTCAGTTCAATATAAACCTACCCTTCCAGCCAATCAAACTTTGACTATTCTACTACTTGCATTGGATTTCCAAATTTAATGTGATTAATCATTCTGGTATGGCTTAATAAATTGCAGAGTTCTTGAATTTTGGTCACCATTATTTCTTCTATTACAAAATTATTTGATTCTTATTTACTGCTAAAATCCTAGGAGAATCCTATAAAACTGGAAATTTACGGACATATGCAAAGGGATGGTAGCATTCCTATCTTTCTGGAGATTGCTCCACAAATGAAAGATCTGATATAAATGCTGTGCTATCAGCATACCGTCCCTGAAGCAAAGGCATAGCAACTACTGAACTGTTCACTTAGGGAAAGTGTCATCAAAATAAATCATATAAAAATAAACAGAAGATCACAGTGGCAGAATGAAATTCATTTGGGAAAAACACAAATGCAGTATTAATTTTCCAGGAGTGACTACTGAGGAAGATATAGTTCTATAAAGAATAATGCTGGAAAAAGAAAATATTTAGATGTTCTAGTGAAAATTGCAAGTATGAATTAAACATAAAACTATACTGTAATATAGATAATAGATTTTGGCTCATTCTCAGATATAGTAGAAAAACACAAGTTGAGGACCATAGAGGCAAATATGTCACTAATGCTCAGAACTAAATTTTAATAAAATCACTGTTTTTATGCACCTCTGTGAAATGAATAGCCTTTCATCAAACCATAAGGAGAATCGTTTGGCTCAGTGCACAGATTGTAGGACCTGGATTTTCTGTAAGGATGGATGGTAGCAAAAAGGTTTAGGACATATTGCTCAGGAGATCAAGAGTTTTCACTTCAAAGGATTCAAGTTCTCAGTGACCTGTCAAATGTAAAACTCTGCAATACAGGTATGTCAAAATTATCAGCTCTATATGCATCCGCCAAAGACTTGCACTATGATGAGTTGTTCAGAAAACAATACTCTCTTTCCAGTCAGAAATAATTATTTCTAAGTTCAATGGGAGATTGAAGTTTAAGTCTCTCATACAGACTTACTGACTACAATTGAAGCCAGCAACCCTGTCACTAAGTAGCATGATCATTAAGTGAAATATTATGTAACTATGCCCAACTTCTGTCACTTCTGTTGAGGTCAATAAATGAATCACCTGCAGTCATTAAGTCCAATGTCATGTAACTGGAACTTACAACTTACTGTTACATGACATTGGGCTTAATGATTTTGTTTGTTGGAAGCTAGCTGTGGAAGTTGTAAATGGCAATCACATCACTGTGAGATGCTGCAACCATTGTAAATGTGCACTGGTTGCTAATCACCCAAATCATAAATCTATGACAGTAGGGATGTTTTTACAGCTATCATAAATCTACATTTTCAGCATCATCATAAGTTTGAGCAGTCATTGAGCGAGTCATTAACCAAGGACTACCTGTATATTCTTCTGGTATTTTAGAGAACAGTCATCATCATTTCCAGATAAGCATATAAATAAAATTCTTAGAAAATACTTGAAGTAACAATAGAAAACACTTGAAGTGACAACTCTGAATCCATAAAGTTAGTGAATCACTTCATGAAACTACAGAACATGTGCTTTCAGTAGGGTCCTCAGAATTTACTCTTCTTGAAACAAGCAGTCCAATAGCATTTGGGCTTTTAACATTTTCATGTATTCTGGATTCCTGCTCAACCTAGTTGTTTGTTGAAGGTCAAGAATGAGAAGATGGGCGAGTCATTTTCTTTAAAAAAATACTATTATTATTATTTAGTTGCTGAAATATAATAAACAACTGCAACAATAATAGACTACACCTGGTGGTTGAGATTGGCAATGCTTTTCTTTAGAAAAAGTCACTTTTGATTTGTTGTTATTCATCTCACTTCACAAAAATGGCTTTGACAAGGTGAAGCTTTTTTATTCTGGCAATGACAGAATAACTTCTTTTAAGCATAGACTGAATGTATATTTCATATTCATTTATTTGCTAAGTATTTCATACATTCAGAATCTGTTTCCAACCATCTTTGGGTCAGGTTAAGATTTAACTTCTGTATCTATACGGACATGAAAATATTAAGGGTTTTGATATAAAAGAAAATTTCAACGTATCAAGATTATTTATTCACTTCCTACAAAATTACTGTACTATACAATTCATTTAGTATAAGTAGCCATAAAAATAGCACTTTGTAACAAATAAATACACAATGACAAAGGTTACTATTGAAGGGATTACACATGACAGCAGCTAACATAAAAATTTTCAATATCAGAATCTTACTTTAATATGAAGACATTGCTATCAAAGGAAAATACTCAAGAAATGCTTTGATAAAAATAATCTCCCAGTATCTTTGAAGCAGTTTCATTTATTTTACTTCCCACTGTGTTCCTTATCAGAAGGCCAAGTATAAGAAGTTTTCTAGTTTATGATTAGGAAGGAATCTGATAGATTAGAAGACTCAATTGAAGTTGGACATAATAAGTATTAAAGTATTACATGACGTTAATCCTGCCATTCCATTACTCTCTCAATCATTGTGTGCAGACTAATTATTCTGAAGCCCATGTTCAGGAGAAAATAGAAACATACTTACACTGTGATGAAGTAATCTCTTTATTGCATCCACCAGGCTAGCTCTGTACTGGTCCAGAAACAGGCTGACATTGAAAATGGAACAGTATTCAGATTAAAAAGGGATTTTATTTCTAATGATTTTAATGCAGATAAGTATAAGGCTAATTACATATGTTTATATACTGCTATGAAGAAAAAACTGAATCTAAATTGTTCTCAGTTCATAGTTTCTAAACAAATTCTGAAACTTGTAACCATTTGTCTGAAACTAAAGACCAAAGGATTACCAAGACACGTTTTTAACTGAAATACTTTTAAGATAAGTAGTTAGGTTATACAATCAGAATTAAGACAATATACAATAAATAAATTCCATTCTATTTCTGGAGGAGAAATTAATATTAAAACAGGCTGTCCTCTACATTTTATAGAAAGATTCTATTTATTTTGCTTATTTCTAAAAATATGTATATATTTGTACAGTAGTTTTTTAAACTCTCAAACAAATCTTTCTAAAGCTAAACAAGACACTAGAAGACAGAATAAAAATAAACATGGCAGTGTCAAATTTATTTAACCAACTATCACAGGGGGTTTGCAGAATAATTTAAAAAAGAACAAGGTTGCCTCATTGATAGGATAATTCATATTTGCCCAGTATATCTTACATGCTTATTTATATATTTATGTCTGTTTATGCATTTTTTGTATATGGAGCACCACCATGGAAATGGCTGTCATTCTTGTTATAATTAAAACTTTTTAAATGAATCTATTTTAATCTTATTTAAAACAAGATTCCACTACTTTTACCCAGGAAGCATAACAAAAATTGCGAGAAAATTCATTCCTTCCTCTCATCAATTTGCTAGAGAGATTAATTTGATTCCATGGTAATTCCAGCAAGAGTTGCAAAGAAGTCAGCTCTGTGGAAAGCATTACAACGTTGCAATGATGCAGTGCATGTTGCTATTACCGTATTTACATTAATGGGATACATTGCTTTAATTTAATTACATTTAATTATAAATTAAACCCAATTTAGTTTTCTTGTGTCCCCATTTTTTAAAAATTGTAGGAATATGACTTCAGGCATGCCACTCCAAGCCCCCCAAAATCTGGTGAACCTAACTGGTATGTTAATTTTTTTCTGCAAAACATCAAAAAGAAAAAGAAAAAAGGAGAGCGGCATATCAATTGGATTCACTTCCAATTGAAAGAGTTGTTCTCTACTCTTTCAGTTGGGAGTAAAACCAATTGATTTTGCATCAACTTGTGTATCTCTAATTCGGACTAAAGTGGTATGATTTTCACTGGCCCAGGAGACTCACCAATTGAAATGAAGTTGAATATCAAAATTGCAACTTCTGTTGTTCTCTATGTGTTGTGTCCGTCGAGAAAGGAAGCTCGGAGTCAGTGACTTGGTTTCAGCTCTTTATTGGCTCCTGAAACAGCTTGGGTTTGAAGGGGAAAAACCGCGGCTTTTATTCCCGAGCCGCGGCGGCCGCGGCCAATGACACCGCTTCGAATCTCCCGCGATTAGTTTCCTCCAATCGCGGGGGATTCGCAACGGGCCAATCAGTGCGGCTCGCTCGACCAATCCGGTTGCCGCGCGCTTTAACCAATCGCGACGCGGGGCTACGAGTATGTAAATTGACTTGTACAGAACACCCCTCCCCTCTTGGTTCGGTCCTACGTAACGTAGTCCCGTAGGTAGGCGGGGCTTCGTACTTGTCTACTTGACTTGCGCAGCTTAGTTGTTGTTTGGCTCCCGGCCGGTTCGGTCGGGACTTCTGTTTCTCTTGGCCCTGTCGATGGAACCCCCTGGAAGGTGTCGCTGGGCCTCTTGTTGCAGCTCCCTCCCGGTCTACCCGGGTTGGTCGAGCTGCGACTTTCGCCGCTCCTGCCTGGTCTTTCCGGGCTGGTTGAGCTGGCCTGGCTGTTCCTTCCTGGTGAGACTTCGGGCTGGCTGTTGACTGGTGAGTTTTGCTGGTTATTTCCTATTTGATCCCCTGTATCTTCCCTCCCCTCTTGGTTTGTGTTATCGGGATCGTCTGTGTTTGGTTGCGTGTCGGTTGTGTTTTTTGTTCTTGATCTTATTTGATCGATGTGGCGTTTCCATGTTTGTCCGTCGGTTGTCTGTAGCCGGTAGGAGTGGGGTCCTGTCAGTTGGGTTATAGTTGCCGGTACCCATAGTGGGTCTCCGGTAAGGTTTTTTGCATAGACTGCGTCGCCTGGTGCAAAAACCCGGTGCTTGCTAGATGAGTCCGGGGGTTTTTCCGGGTTGTATGTGGGGTGTAGTCTGTCGAGTGGTGACCTTAGTTTTCTTCCCATTAGTAATTCTGCCGGGCTTTTGTTTGTCGTTGTGTTTGGGGTGATATGTTGTATTAGGAGCATTTTATTTATTTTTTCTTGTATGTCCCCGTGTTCGATCTTTTGGAGGGTTCTTTTTGTAAATTGAACCATCCGTTCTGCCCTACCATTGGCCGCCGGATGCGCCGTCGCTGTCAGTGCGTGTCGTATGCCTCGTTCCGCTAGGAATCTTTCGAATTCCAGCGAGGTGAACTGGGGTCCGTTGTCTGACACGATAACATCCGGGAGACCGTGGGTTGCGAAAAGTTTGTTTAAGACCTTGGTTACCGCATCTGTTGTGGTGGTCTTCATGTTGCTTACCTCCAGCCAGTTGGAGTAAGCATCCACCGTGATGAGGAATGTGTTCCCTTTTGTGGGCCCGGCAAAATCTATATGGAGTCTCGACCATGGTCCCCTGGGCGTTTCCCATTCTAATATTGGTGCTGCGGGGGGATTTGGTCTGGTTTCCTGGCAGCGCGAGCACTTGGCTACCCAGGCCTCGATCTCCTTGTCCATACCTGGCCACCAAGCATAGCTTCTGGCTAAAGCTTTAGTCCTCACAATCCCCGGGTGCCCTTCGTGTAATAATTTTAATACCTTCCCTTGCAGTTTTTCCGGTATGACCACCCTGTCCCCCCATAACAAACAACCTTTCTGTAGTGACAGTTCTGTTTGCCGGTTTCGGAATGTCCTGAATGCTTCATCGTTGTCTTTCTCTGGCCATCCCTTTTCTACCCAATGTAATACCCGCGCCAGACGCTTGTCTTTATTAGTCTCTCGGGCAATGTCTGACGCGGTTATGGGTAGGTCCGGCAATGTCTCTATGCTGAGGGTGGTCGTCGTGGGAGCTGGATCGTCGTCTAGGTCGGGAAGCGGCGAGCGGCTCAACGCGTCTGCATGGGAGATCGTCTTACCGGGTCTGTGTGTGAGCCGGTAGTCGTAGGCGGCGAGGAACTCAGACCACCTTGTCATCCTGGGGGATAGGATGTTCGGGGTGGCCTTGTTCCCCGCCAGGATGCCCAGCAGCGGCTTGTGGTCCGTGATGAGGGTGAATCGGCGGCCGTAGAGGTACTCGTGGAACTTCTTTACTGCTGCGACGATGGCCAGTGCCTCCTTATCTAATTGGCTGTAGTTTCTTTCGGGTTTGCTGAGTGTTCTTGAAAAGAAAGCGATGGGTGCTTCTTTTCCGTCTGGGAGTGTATGGCTGAGGACAGCGCCGACGCCAAATGGTGAGGCGTCGCATGTGACGGCGATGGGTAGGGTCTCATTATACTGAATGAGAACGGCATCCGAGGTGAGCAGGTCTTTGGTATTCTTGAATGCGGTGTCCTCCCGTTTCCCCCAGGTCCATTTGGCCGTCCTGTCCAGGAGCCTATGCAAAGGCTCCGCCGCGGTCGCCTTTTGGGGCAAGAACACATTGTAAAAATTTAGCAGTCCCAGAAATGCCTGCAGCTCTGTTTTGTTCTTGGGTGTGGGGGCTTCTTTTATGGCTTTGACCTTGCTTCCGGTTGGGTGGATGCCATGTCGGTCTAGGAGGTACCCCAGGAACTCGACTTGCTCTGTGCATAGCTGGCATTTCTCTTTCTTCACCTTTAGCCCGGCCCCTTTGAATTTTTCTAGTACCTCCCTTAGGCGACCCTCTAGTTCCTCCTGGTTGGCTGCCGACACTAATACATCGTCAAAATAGGGAACCACCCCCTTGATTCCTCGCAGCAGTCTCTCCATGAGGCTCTGGAAAATTCCGGGGGCTACGCTGACTCCAAACTGGAGTCGGTTACAACGAAACGCTCCCCGGTGGGTGACTATTGTTTGCGCCTCGGCGGTTTCTTCATCGACCGGCAGTTGCTGATAGGCTTGCGCCAGGTCGAGCTTCGCAAAGACCTTGCCCCCCCCCAGCGAGTGTAATAGGTGTTGCACTACTGGGACGGGGTAGGCGCTTTGTTGCAGGGCGCAATTGAGGGTGGCCTTATAGTCCCCGCAGATCCTTACTGACCCATCTGGCTTGACTGGGGTGACTATAGGGGTCTCCCACCGGGCGTGGTCGATTGGCTGCAAAACCCCCTGTTTGACGAGCTTGTCAATTTGCTCGTCTATTTTCTTCCGGAGTGCAAAAGGCACCCGTCTGGGTTTTAGGCGTATGGGGGCGACATTTGGGTCTAGGCTGAAAGAGATAGGGGGCCCTTTGTACTTGCCTAGGGTGCCGTCGAATACTTCTTGGAAATCCCTCGCCAGCTGCTGCTCCCAGTCGGCCTCTGTGGTGTGGTTTATTCCCGTGACCTCGATCCCGAGTGGCGCGAACCATTGGAGTCCTAAGAGGCTGGGTCGGTTCCGGTCCACGATAGTCAGGGGAAGTTTCGCGGTGCGGTTTTTGAAAGTTACCTCGAACTGTCCGAATGACGGGGATGCGGTTCCCCTGATAGTCCTTGATGATCAGCTTCTGGTTCTCCAGTCCTCTTTTCTGGATGTTCGGCACCAGGCGCTTGAGTTCTTTCCAGGCGACCATGGAGAGGTAGGATCCGGAGTCTACCTCCATCCGGCATGGCTCGCCCTCGATGCTCACCTCCACGTAGACCTTCCGGGCATCCGTGGTTTCGGCATGGCCTATGGTGACCGTCTGGTGGGTTTCTTCTCTCTGTCGGCCTTCCCCGCTCCGCCGTCCTCGGTTGTCTCGGTTCCAGCGATAGTCGGCTTGGCGATCTCTGGTTCTCGGGGGGGGGTGTCGTCTCGCCCC